GACATATTAATTAGCATGCGCAAAAGTTTTAATGTAGTTATGATGTCAACCAAAATTAATACTTTCAATTTTGAATTATTCTTTAATTACTTAAAGTTATATTTCCTTTTCAATATCTTCCATTTAGAATATTCATTTATGCTTTTGAATATTTAAAAAATGGAATTGATGAACGAGACAGAAACTTGATACCACGTACGCATATGTGCGTTGCCCATCTCGCCCTCTCAAAAAAAGAATTATTTTATTTTCTCCGCAAAAAGTAGTTCCTTTCAAAACCACCCCAATCATTCCTACAGATCTTAGTCAAACGTTTCGGATTGACTCAATTTTTGCCGGTGTACACGTGGAGCCCCCACATTGTATTCTTTCTAATTCGTAAATAAATTTACAAAATTCACTCATCAAATAAAAATAATAATGAAAGAAAAGGTCCCGCGCAGTTTGTTCATGAAACGCCGTCGTTTACATCGCAATCAATTATTATGGGTAGTTGGCAACAGAACGAGTCTCCCATTGGCTGTTCAAATATTTATATATTGTTGTACTTTGAATGGAAAATTGAATGTAAATTACCTAACAATATTCGTTACACATTGCTCGTTTTTCAAACTCTTATTTAATCAATTAATCACCCTCTTCCATTTCCTCCTTACTATTTAAAGAAAACATTAAAATTAATTAACTACATCATTATTCTAAAATAAATTCCACTAATTAATGTATAATTTCGATATCAATTTTTATAGCATTTATGGAATGGAATCGAGACCAAATTTAAGGTATGTTGGAAAATGGACCTATACATAACCTTTTTTTCAGTTTAATTATAAATTTAAATTAAACTATATATATGTGTGTGTGCGTGTCTATATATATATATATATATATATAGATATGATATTAATAAATTAATCCCTATGCAATCATATAATAAAGCACAATTACGTAGGTATTTAATTAAGTTTTAATTATTTGGTTGAATTCATTCTTAAAAAATGAATTCTACACCATATATTATTAAAGAAAATATATATATGTATAAAATATCAATCTTTTTTCTTGGGTTTGGAATATTATAAGATGGCATTGAATTGAATGATGGGCGAACTTTGTTTTCTTTTTTTATTTATTCACGTGTTTAATGATGTTTAAAATGACTTTTTTTTTTATTTATTTTTTTTTATTATGTTTTAGTCTACTTGATATTCTAAAATTAGTTACAAATGCTATTTTTAATATTGAAGTTATATTTTTAAAATTAACCAAATAATAATTTAGCTATGAATTTACATATTTATTTAATAGTTATGAAAATCATGATAATTTTTTTTTTTTTTTTTTATATGGATTGATATTCAATAAATAAAAAAACACACACACACAATTTCAGATATTAAAATTAGTTGAAATATATGGCAATTAATTAAGATATATAAGAGGGGGAGTAGGAAGATGGTAGAATTTGAAGGGGTTGGGTGGGGATTGAATGGATGAGGTTGAGCTTCATTCGACTTCATGCCCCCACTCTAATAACACACACCTTATTATATGCTTTCACATTAATGGATGGGACAATCTTGAACGCATTCTTACCTTCCACGTCGAAAATAATAATAACAATAAAACCTATAAAAATCACTGACAAATGTCCAAATTCTTATGGCTTCCAATCAAACTATTTGAAATTGCATGTTCCAACTCTTTTCCATTAGATATATATATATACCCATATTTTAAACATGTGGGGATATGAATGTTACGTTTATTTAAATGATTTAAAGAAGAAGTAAAATGACTATACTATAATAATTAAATCTTCAGGTTTCTGTAAGCACACGAGAAAAAGCTTCAGCCCGAGCCCACGACCCACGACCCACACCCAAATTGAATTCCAAGCCCAAGCGTTGCAAGATCTCTAACGATCAGTTACTTTGTTTCGACGCGTCTGATTGGCGTGCAATGAAAGTTGGGAAACAATGGAGACAAATAGGAAGGCGCAGGGCGGCGAGTGAAGATAGAGAAGCAGCAATATTCATATCTGGTGGGGCGTTTCTTGAATGATTTGAAAAGGAGTGAAGTGAAGAAGATACAACAATGGCAAGACAAGAGGCTGTGATTTTGGTTTGATAGAGAGATTGGATTGATTGAGGATTGGCGGGAGGAACCGAAATTAATTTAACCTAATTTATCTTCCTCTTTGCCTCTAATACCCATACATCCCTCCATCATTGAATTAAAATAGAGTAAAAAAAGGTTGAGCAATTAATACTTTTTATTGATAAACCAAACCACGTTACGCATCCATCACTTCCAAGGGTACATTAATTCATATAAATCGAAAGCACCACTACGTAGAGAAATGCCATCGTCTTTTGCAGCCCAAATGCAGGTATTATGATAACATCGATCACTAAGCCAGCGGCTTCTCTCTGGCCAAAACACTTGACCAGAAGCATTCCCGCGTTTGCTGCTAAAATTGCACCAAAATAGTGTCGTTTGCCCCACGTTTTCATGGAACGTCCAAAAATATTTGCCTCCAGGATTGATCACATGCTCGCCTAAATCGTCGTCTTTCGACTTGCAATGAGCCACCAGAGTGGAGTCCTTCATGTCATTCAAAATATCCACTTCCCACGAAGAAAATGGGTCCATGCGTTTGGAATCAGATTGGGCAAAACCTGGGTTAATAATCATGTTTGATTCAAAAGCAAGCAAAATGATGAAACAAAAGATGGTTTGAGACTTCATTTTGCTTGCTCGCTTTTCTTTTTACAACCCAATTTGGTTTTGCCTGATTTGGTTTGGTTTTGTCTGATTTATATAGCACAATAGGATTAGTATACGGTTAGATCCACAAGTTGTACCATCTTAATTTTCTAATTTTATTTATCTAAATATATACAATGGAATTGTACGTACCATAACTAATAAGGTGTGTATTATATAGGAGCTTGTTTCTCGGGTATATATATAGAAAAGTTGACTTGTTTGAATCAAATAATGTTAAGAATATTTATGGATATTGTATTCCTTCAATTGCACCTTTCCAGTCGCGCTAACAAACTTATGCTAATTTCCAATATGATATGTAAGAAATTTTGAACAAGCAGACAAACTAATTTTCTATTCACATAGATCACATGCATGATGTGACCTTTCTATGCGAAAACATGCATTTAAAATCATTCATAAAATGATGTCATGGACTTAAGCGTTCACATTCAAAACCTTAAAATAAAATAACGAAAAGTTTGACATATTGGAACTCGTCGTTGGGAGCTAAGGTGGTGGAGGAGGATAAAGGGAATGGTTCGAAGGAGAACACTAATCCAAAAGAGAGAGATGGAATCCCTTGTTCCTATCTAGAGTCTCGATCTCTGGTTCGATCCCACAAACCACGAAATACTCAAAGATTTGAGTCATTTGACACCGATGGACGATTATAATCTTTATGTGGTTGATCCTAGAGAGAAAATGGAGGACTTCTAGCTCATCTTGTAATCATTCATGTACCCTTTTCATTTTAGTATGAATTTTGTATCACTAATATACTTTTCTCTATTCCTAATAATTTTTTGAAGGGACGTAAACTGTCTTCGAAATTAATGTACTTCTAGCTCATTTTGTAATCATTCATGTACCCTTTTCATTTTAGTATGAACCGATAGAATTTTGTATCACAAATATACTTGGCTCTATTCCTAATAATTTTTTGAGCTCATTTTGTAATCATTCATGTACCCTTTTCATTTTAGTATGAACCGATAGAATTTTGTATCACAAATATACTTGGCTCTATTCCTAATAATTTTTTGAGCTCATTTTGTAATCATTCATGTACCCTTTTCATTTTAGTACGAACAGATAGAATTTTGTATCACTAATATACTTCGCTCTATTCCTAATAATTTTTTGAAGGGACGTAAACTGTCTTCGAAATTAATGTACTTCTAGCTCATCTTGTAATCATTCATGTACCCTTTTCATTTTAGTACGAACGAGATAGAATTTTGTATCACTAATATACTTCCCTCTATTCCTAATAATTTTTTGAAGGGACGTAAACTGTCTTCGAAATTAATGTACTTCTTAGCTCATCTTGTAATCATACATGTACCCTTTTCATTTTAGTATGTGTTCCAAACTTTTAGAAGTTGAATTAATCAAATTCAATTTTTCTCGTTCTATCTCAGAGTATCCATTCACTCGAAACTGATCCGCTTCCATTTCGACTTTTCGTAAGCGGGCCCGGGCTTTTTCCAGCTGTTCAATGGCCCCCCGCGGAGTTCTTCTTAATTTTGAATTGTTTTCAAGATCCTCTGTTTTCGATTATCGAATAAATCACTTAATGAAAGTAGATTGTCTTTATAGAATTTTGTATCACTAATATACTTCGCTCTATTCCTAATAATTTTTTGAAGGGACATAAACTGTCTTCGGAATTATGTATACTAGACTTTTAAGCATTCAAGCTATAAAAAATATGGCAAAAATTGGTAACCAATCGGATTTCATCCTAATATTTTGTTAAGGAAATCCGTCATAGGTAAAGGTCTGATGCCAAATGATTTGGAAATCACTGCAATAGGAGTAAGATTTGGATCAACTCGTTGATCTAATATCTCAGGAGCAATTAATTCTTTAATCTATAATTTAAAGACTTAATTTATAATTTAACAAAAAAAAAAAAAAAATTAAAAGTATTTATTGTTGTTTCACTTGTAAATTAATTAGAAGGAAAAAGAAAAAAAATACGACTATGTTAAGTTTTATTTTGATTATTTTCGATAGGCTCGTCACATCCATGGATTGACATTTAAAGAATTAATTAGGGTTTCATTCGTCACATCCATGGCTCGTCACATCTATTCATACACGTACTTATACATGTATTTATGCATGTACAAGTGACCCTTCAACACATCATGTATGTAAATGTATGTACTAGGGACCATTCAACACATCATGTATCTACTAGTGTCCCTTCAACACAAACAGGAAAGAAAGGTGTCAGTAATGTACCAGCAAGCCCGTTCAAGGCAAGCAAACTAGCAGCTAGATGTACTTCTAAGTTCTAACCAGATATTTTAATTTCATCAACGGTCGAGAATTGTCAAAAAGCAGTAGGTAAGAACAACGGGATCGTTAGAATCTGCACACCTTTCCCGATCAGAGCTTTGAAGGAAGCACTACTCATGGATATCCCTTCAACCTCGGCAACAGCATCCAGCATCTCAAAACCTACCTGGAAAATTAATCATATTAATCATAGCATCAGGGACTGCCATGCTTCAATTCGTCTTAATAAAGGACATCCAGACAACACTCAATTATGGCTAATAACAAAAACAGCACTAGATAAGACATGCTTCTCCAGCTTTGTAAATCGACATAAATCATAATTTCCTCGAGATAACCAAACTTCATGCTCGAAAAACCTATCCTAAGGGGATTCCCACGCGAAAAACGGCATACCCAGTTAATCCAACAGAAAATAAGGCATAATCGTCTCGATCAACATCGTTCTCAATGAAACAGAATTTAATTTCCTACATAAATACTATAAATGAATAATCCTTCCGCAAAGAATAAATGGTACAAAAAAGAGCAAGTTCAATTCGTAAACGAAAAGATAGGGCCATACGGACATTATGGCGAGTGCGTTCATACTTCTTCCCGGGGTTCCCAAGGCCAACGATCAGCCATGGCTTCGGCGGCGGCGCGGGCTTCTTCTCCTCCACAGCAAGCTGATCGGGGGCCAGAGGTGAGGAAGTGGACATCGACGCAGTAATGGAAGAAGTCATCGACGAAAAGATATGCAAACTTGGGGGATTTAAGGATAGAGAAGGGAAGGAAATGGGTGTTCTGAAGGTTGGGAAACAATGGAGACAAATAGGAAGGCGCAGGGCGGCGAGTGAAGATAGAGAAGCAGCAATATTCATATCTGGTGGGGCGTTTCTTGAATGATTTGAAAAGGAGTGAAGTGAAGAAGATACAACAATGGCAAGACAAGAGGCTGTGATTTTGGTTTGATAGAGAGATTGGATTGATTGAGGATTGGCGGGAGGAACCGAAATTAATTTAACCTAATTTATCTTCCTCTTTGCCTCTAATACCCATACATCCCTCCATCATTGAATTAAAATAGAGTAAAAAAAGGTTGAGCAATTAATACTTTTTATTGATAAACCAAACGCATCCATCACTTCCAAGGGTACATTAATTCATATAAATCGAAAGCACCACTACGTAGAGAAATGCCATCGTCTTTTGCAGCCCAAATGCAGGTATTATGATAACATCGATCACTAAGCCAGCGGCTTCTCTCTGGCCAAAACACTTGACCAGAAGCATTCCCGCGTTTGCTGCTAAAATTGCACCAAAATAGTGTCGTTTGCCCCACGTTTTCATGGAACGTCCAAAAATATTTGCCTCCAGGATTGATCACATGCTCGCCTAAATCGTCGTCTTTCGACTTGCAATGAGCCACCAGAGTGGAGTCCTTCATGTCATTCAAAATATCCACTTCCCACGAAGAAAATGGGTCCATGCGTTTGGAATCAGATTGGGCAAAACCTGGGTTAATAATCATGTTTGATTCAAAAGCAAGCAAAATGATGAAACAAAAGATGGTTTGAGACTTCATTTTGCTTGCTCGCTTTTCTTTTTACAACCCAATTTGGTTTTGCCTGATTTGGTTTGGTTTTGTCTGATTTATATAGCACAATAGGATTAGTATACGGTTAGATCCACAAGTTGTACCATCTTAATTTTCTAATTTTATTTATCTAAATATATACAATGGAATTGTACGTACCATAACTAATAAGGTGTGTATTATATAGGAGCTTGTTTCTCGGGTATATATATAGAAAAGTTGACTTGTTTGAATCAAATAATGTTAAGAATATTTATGGATATTGTATTCCTTCAATTGCACCTTTCCAGTCGCGCTAACAAACTTATGCTAATTTCCAATATGATATGTAAGAAATTTTGAACAAGCAGACAAACTAATTTTCTATTCACATAGATCACATGCATGATGTGACCTTTCTATGCGAAAACATGCATTTAAAATCATTCATAAAATGATGTCATGGACTTAAGCGTTCACATTCAAAACCTTAAAATAAAATAACGAAAAGTTTGACATATTGGAACTCGTCGTTGGGAGCTAAGGTGGTGGAGGAGGATAAAGGGAATGGTTCGAAGGAGAACACTAATCCAAAAGAGAGAGATGGAATCCCTTGTTCCTATCTAGAGTCTCGATCTCTGGTTCGATCCCACAAACCACGAAATACTCAAAGATTTGAGTCATTTGACACCGATGGACGATTATAATCTTTATGTGGTTGATCCTAGAGAGAAAATGGAGGACTTCTAGCTCATCTTGTAATCATTCATGTACCCTTTTCATTTTAGTATGAATTTTGTATCACTAATATACTTTTCTCTATTCCTAATAATTTTTTGAAGGGACGTAAACTGTCTTCGAAATTAATGTACTTCTAGCTCATTTTGTAATCATTCATGTACCCTTTTCATTTTAGTATGAACCGATAGAATTTTGTATCACAAATATACTTGGCTCTATTCCTAATAATTTTTTGAGCTCATTTTGTAATCATTCATGTGCCCTTTTCATTTTAGTATGAACCGATAGAATTTTGTATCACTAATATACTTCGCTCTATTCCTAATAATTTTTTGAAGGGACGTAAACTGTCTTCGAAATTAATGTACTTCTAGCTCATCTTGTAATCATTCATGTACCCTTTTCATTTTAGTACGAACCAGATAGAATTTTGTATCACTAATATACTTCCCTTTATTCCTAATAATTTTTTGAAGGGACGTAAACTGTCTTCGAAATTAATGTACTTCTAGCTCATCTTGTAATCATTTGTGTACCCTTTTCATTTTAGTACGAACGAGATAGAATTTTGTATCACTAATATACTTCCCTGTTAAGGATATTTAGTAATAAATTATAGTTTACCATATATATTATATTTGATATTTTATTATAAGGCAAATATCTAATATTTGCCTTATTATTATAGGTATCTTTCATTTATTGTTATTTTCATATCCTTATAATTTATTTGATTATAAATAAGACAACTTTCACACCATTTAGGTGTGGTGGATTAATCAAACATTCACATAGTATCAGAGCCCTTTCGGTTTAACAACCGTGATCCTTTCTTTTCAATGGCTTTTGAATCCTCTAATCTTCTTTTCCACCACCCCTGCTGGTTTTGACGCCGCAGGGGCAGTCTTCATGGCTGCCGTAGTCGGAGCCGATTGATTACTCTTCGGCTCCACCCTATTGACCTCCAAATCATCTTTCGTCATACTCTGTACATACAACCTCACCTTTTCCAACCAAATCGGTTTTCCCTTTGGCCAATATAGTCTCTCTCATTTTCTTTCCAATCAACCTTCATCCTTCACATAAACCCTAACCTAAACCTATCAATCTTTTGCAGAGATTTACCTTCGGAATCTGGGTGCCGCACTGGCCTATTCGCCAACCAAGTTGCCGCCGCCCTTCCTGCCAAAATTGGCTTCTTCGCCCGATGAGGCGACTCTTCCGACTGCCCTTCTCGCCAAAATTGGCTCCTTCGCCCAATGTGGTGACTCTTTCGGCTTCAACATTGTCTTTGTCCCTTGCTCTAGGTTTCCCCTTCTACTTCTTGGGGTTAGAAATATTCTCACCAGAGCCAAGGCAGCATCGTCGCTAAGCGACAATCCCTCTTCATAGGTTAGACATATTCTCGCCGAAGCCAAGGCAGCATCGCCACTGAGCGGCGATCCCTCTGCAATTTTTTATGGCCAAGAACCGGGTTGTTAGCATCTTCATGAAAAGTGTTTCTCAACCTCTTTGAATTTTTCAGATTCAAGCTTCACGTTCGTTTAAATCCGACGCTTAGCTTGCGGTGGGGTGTTAAGGATATTTAGTAATAAATTATAGTTTACCATATATATTATATTTGATATTTTATTATAAGGCAAATATCTAATATTTGCCTTATTATTATAGGTATCTTTCATTTATTGTTATTTTCATATCCTTATAATTTATTTGATTATAAATAAGACAACTTTCACACCATTTAGGTGTGGTGGATTAATCAAACATTCACATTTATTTGATTATAAATAAGACAACTTTCACACCATTTAGGTGTGGTGGATTAATCAAACATTCACATTCCCTCTATTCCTAATAATTTTTTGAAGGGACGTAAACTGTCTTCGAAATTATGTATACTAGACTTTTAAGCATTCAAGCTATAAAAAATATGGCAAAACTTGGTAACCAATCGGATTTCATCCTAATATTTTGTTAAGGAAATCCGTCATAGGTAAAGGTCTGATGCCAAATGATTTGGAAATCACTGCAATAGGAGTAAGATTTGGATCAAGATCTAATATCTCAAAAGCAATTAATTCTTTAATCTATAATTTAAAGAATTAAAAGAATTAAAAGTATTTAATTGTTCTTTCACTTGTAAATTAATTAGAAGGAAAAGAAAAAAATAGGACTATGTTAAGTTTTAAAGAATTAATTAGGGTTTCATTCCTCATGCTTTGATCACTGAGACAAATCAATCATTCATAAACCAAATTAATATGAATGTTTTCTTTTCTCTACGATTCATCAGTTGCAGTTTGTTGATGAACAATCGTTATGGAGACGATGGACGCTGAAGACTGTGGGAAAGTTCAGAGAGGAGGCTCAAAGGTACAGTAAGCAGCCTACGATATATATTTCTGATTTTAGGTTTTCTTTTTGGAGTTTTTAAGTTGACTACTTAGGTTTTGTTTTCCTTGAAGTCGACAATATGAAGGATATAAGTCGCTTTACGTGTGTGGGTTGTAGAGAACTGGGTATTTGAGGTGTTAATGCATTGTCGACGGTTGATCAGCGAATTAACTGTTGTGTAGTTATTGTAGATGCTTTCTCTGTCCTGTATTGTAGTTTGATTACGATTTCTGGAAAACATTTCAGTCTCATGTTCTAGAATTGTTAGAAAAACTCTTGGAGATGAACTCGTTCTATTAAGATTTGTTTGGTTGAGAAAGCAGACGATAGACAAAATTTAATAAAAAATAAAATAAAATGGGACTTAGTGTGAACGGACAAACAGAGGGACGATGAGAGAAGTCGTATGGGAGAGATTAGTACGAGAAAATTTGTAATGTTAACTGGGAAGAGAAAATACGTGGAGAGAAATTGTCAGAGTGAGTGGTAAAGAAAAGGTGGGACTGAGAGTGTGAATTTTGAATACGTTGTTCTCTCGTCTTAAATTCAATATCGACAACCTTTAAGTTGACCCTTTTTCTTTCTTTTTTTATAATGGCCTTTTTCATTTTTGCCTCATCTCATTGTGCTCTTTCAAACTTATCAGCATCAGGTTTGAATCTGATCACTTGGAGGGGAACTAGTAATGGCCATCACGCGAACATTTTCTCCTAAATGTGCGACTTGCTCTATGATTAAATGGTTGGCTTTAGCTGCTACGTTCAGGAAGGTTGCTGCGTCTGGGTACAATTTCAAACCTATGGTAATATTTTTTTTTTTATTGTTCCAACTATTTTGTCAATATCTGCCTCTGCTGACCGTGCTGACCCATCTATTCAATGTTGACAGACGTTCTGCTCCCCTCTTAGGATCCTCATCTATTCATGCCAATACCGCCAAACGTTAGAAAAGGAAGTCATGTTTTTAATACTGAACATATCTTATACAAAAACTGCATAGGGATTGGGAACTATTTTCAATATGGAATTCCATAGGGATTGTTTGGAAACTATTTTCAAAATTGTTTTCTGTGTTTCAGAATAAAAGTTGTATAGAAGTAAAATTTTCTACTATTAATTCTCACAATTAAATTATTCTCTACTATTATCACAATTACACGCACGTGAATAGTGTTTTGATTACATTAGTCACCACTCATCCATCCCAGTTTTTGAATAATGCTTTCCGAAATATATATGAAACTATTTTTCGACAATTTTCGAGTTATCTAATGAAACTACCTCCATAATTTTTACAAATCATTCAATTATTGATTTTGAATTTTGAATTTTCTCCAACAGGGTTCTTTGAGAGGGAAGTGGAGCAATGCAGTATTGCAGTTGTGTGGACCGAGGAAGAAGCATTGCCTGAGCTGCAGAGAATGTTTGCAGAGGCACATGCAACTGTAATCGGTGGAGCCCCTGCTTCTAGTACTAGAGAGCCAGAGCTTGATCAAAGTTTAAAAGAATTAACTAAAGGTGTTTAACAGAGTGCAAAGACTAATATCTGAACAATATCAGTTTCCAGTTTCTGAACTTGTACGTTTTCCTCCTGAAATGTTTTGTATACAATCATTATTTTGGATCAACTTATATTCAGTAGTCTTTTTTAGGCTTATTCTTTTGCCTTTTAAACTGCCTGACTCGTTTGTTTTTCGCTTAACAGTCAATCTGCTCTTGATTTGTGCATTTCTCTGATCTTCCGCTGATTGGGCTCGAGTTACACCCTCTGGTTGAGATCCAACTACATCATTACAACGAGTTCTCATTCATCATCGGTGGGTCAAAGTTGAAATAAAACAGGGTATGGGAGTTTACAACTCATTGGCGTACATTTTTGCTCAAGTTTTTACTTTCTTGCTTTTGTCTCTTTCCGTTGAGTGCATTTTCCTTTTTAGCTTCCCAGCTTTATCAAGACATGAGTGTAAGTAATTACAGTAGAATAACTTCACGACCTGCATTCTAACAGTTACTCCAACAAATCACCAACTTCTTATAGATACCTATAGCCAGCGGTACCAAAACGAGATTTTGATCCATAGATGCTGTGGTCGAGCTATGGCGTAATGCCAGCTCAAGGCGATTGGCGACTAAGATTAATTTATGTTTAGTAGGCCATATGAAATACGGTAATGTTTTTTTCCCCAGGAAATGTAGAGTTTCCCTCCTCATTCATCGTTATGGCTCATTAAACTAGAAGTTGGTAGAATGTCTACTCCACAACCAGCAAAGGCCATGCGATTTCAGTAACTCCAGAGATAAGCCTTACGTCATCTCCTATGATACTTTGCATCTCCTTAAGACAGCTCAGAATTTTTCAGTGGTTGCATTTTCCGACCAATGTTCATTGTGAACAGTGTTGTCTCCACTCTTTTGTAGGGTCTCCATCCTCGGCTCCCATAAGTTTTACTCGTCTGAGATTTGGGTCAAAATGTAAAAAGGGTCGGTCAATCAAAATCCCTCCCAATCCCCACTCTCTCACTCTCTCACTCTCTCTCTCTCCCTACAAGAAAGTGAAAGAACGCTCACTTTGTCTCCTCAGATTCCCTTCTTTTCCATTTTTCATGTCCCTCTATGCCTCTCTCTTCATATTTCATATATCAGCTGGTGGGTCAGTGTGTGTTTCTTTTGTCAGGATTCTCTTGCGCTGCCTAGAAAATAAAGAATTTTGAGTACTGCCCCCACATACCAAATTAAAGAGAAGAGCCCAGAATCTCTCTCATTCTTTTATATTCTCACTCAGTCTCTTCTGAAATATTTTAAGGAACTGTCCTGCTCTCTTCCTTTGCTTTCATATGAAGACGCTTATGGATTCCTCCTCCTCCAGAAGACACTTCCACTGGACCCAGAAGGTGGGAAGTGAAGAAGAAGATGACCAATACCCACTTCCAACCCTCAAACCTACCTCCGTGGCCGCCGAGCTGGAAGAGATGAAGAAGAAAAACAGAGTCGTCTCTCCAGAGCCGCAGCCACCGCATCCCGCAGCCCAAGTACAAAGAAGGAAGATGCCGACCATTGCAGTTGCTCGGTTGCGTTCGGTTCTCACAGTTTTTGCCAAAAATCGGTCTAGCCTTTCACCGGGTCTGGGTTCTCGGGTCGTTGGAACCCTTTTCGGATCTCGGCGTGGCCATGTGCATTTTGCATTCCAAAGAGACCCCAGCTCCGAACCTGCCTTTTTGGTAGAGCTTGCGACGCCTATTAGTGGCTTGGTAAAAGAAATGGCGTCTGGATTAGTCCGAATTGCATTGGAATGTGATAAAGAGAAAGAAGGGGGGAAAAAAGCTGTGAGACTTCTAGAAGAGCCGCTCTGGAGGACATTTTGCAATGGGAAGAAGAGCGGTTTTGCTACAAGGAAGGATTGTGGGGCTAAAGAGATGAAAATCCTCAAGGCTGTGGAGCCAATTTCGATGGGTGCTGGTGTTCTGCCAGGAAACTATGAAGCTGAAACCGAATCGGCTGGAGCTGAGTCGCCTGGATCTGAAACCGGTTCTGATAATGAGATCATGTACATGAGAGCCAAATTTGAGAGAATTGTGGGTTCTAGAGATTCTGAAGCTTTCTACATGATGAACCCAGATAGCAATGGAACTCCCGAACTCAGTATCTATCTGCTTAGAGTCTAATTAAGCTGCAGCCATGAAATCTCTGGGTCTTGCTCATTTCAAAAGAATTTAGTCAAGCCTTGATGGAGCCCAGCTAGATTTCTCCATAACCTTACTTTTGTTTTAATTTCCTTTCCTTTCTGATCTCTTGGGAAAATGGTTAGTGGGTTATTGTATTTTGTTAGAGTAGGTGGGGGGGCAATACATTATAACATGTTGGGAGGAGGGGGCCATGAAGGTGTATATGTATAGGTTTTTGTTCAGTCCTTTATATTTGATAAGACAAGGTGGGCGTTGCAATCAAATGATTGTCTTTGCATTTTGGTTAAATTCTTCTTGTTTGCCAATAGCAGAGACTCCCCAATCGACAACATGTTACAGGAGCGAAAGAAAGAGAGATTTAATCCATGCTATTACTTATTGCAGGCAAGTGCTTTTGCTATTTGTCTCCACTCTTTGTTTCTTTTCAAAAATGACATCCATAATCTATCCAGATTTGCATCATCTTCTTAATCGTGGCTTGTTGGTTTCTTAACTATCCTTAACGAGGATGCTTTATGCTCCAGTTTGGTCTCTGGATCTTGTCCTATTTATACGTGGTAACGAGCTATTGAGGGGGTGAGGAGGATCAATCTTTCTCTTTTCTCTTTAGTCTGTTAAATTACAACTCCTTCCGTTTGAACCATCGGACCGCTGAACCAAATGATTTTTTATTTACATGTTTTATTAGTCGAAGTCTCTTCTATGTTGAGATTTGAAGTCTGATCTGTACTTTAAGTGGAATCAGACATATTTTCATTCTCTCTTTTGGTAAATAGATGGAGATAAAGAGATTCATTGTTTAATTTGGATAGAGATGCATTGTACAAAAGCTTGTAAACTGGGTCATACTTTGAATTTAGGGAGTAAAGTTGAAAGAAGGCTAAAGAAGGAAAGGAGATTATTCTTGCTGTTGCCTTCTTTTTCAGATGGTGGGTGCTCTTGGGTAAGGATGCCCCCCCTACCCTTCTTCAATAAATTCACCAACGATCATTATTTCAGTGTCTTCTTCCTTCATCTTTCCCTGTGAGGTTTCGATCGTCTAGCGACTTAGGGTCACATAACCTTCCCACAAAATTTTAGCGTTTTATGTATTGGACAATGATCAAGATGAACCAATAATTACTTTTTGTTTTACATATCTATGTGGGAAAATTCATCCCAATATGTTTTTGAAATAAAGCCAGATCATAGAAGTCATCAAAAGGCAACAAAAATAATCAAAGGAATGGCAACTAGCATCCCCAACAGCACATTGAGCTTTCCTCCTTTTGTTGACTGCTTTCACCCTTCTTCAAAGTACCGATTCTCTACTTTCACATCTCTTAAGTTTCTGACTCGATTCTTTTCTGATAGTTTTGGGATTCTATATTTTCAGCCAAGATTAATCAAATGTGACAGATTTTGAAGGCCTCAAGAATCTAATGAATTGTTACGGGGAAAATTTTGTATCTATCATAGACAAAGGGTGAGGAATAGCAACATAAATCGTCAAAGATGGCTCTAGTTGGAAGAAAAGGACCCAATTCCACATGGACGATTTGGCAAGTGGGCTCGGAGGATGTAGCCACCATGGTTAGTGGCCTTTCTTTCTCTTCCTGGTTTCATGGCCTTCATAAGCTCTCTCTCTGTCCATACCCCAGAGAAAGAGGGGGAGAATGGGGCATTTTTGGGAAGTGTGGGTTACAGCTCGGGGAAAAAAAAAAAAAAAAAATAACAAAAAGAAAGAA